CCCCCCCCAGGGCCTCTCTCCTCCCCCCCGGGAGTCCAGCCCGCGCGCCGCCCCACCGGGAAGCGGGGGGAGGGGGACAGTCCGGGTCCCGCGCGCCTCTCACCAGCTATCGCCTTGGCTGCGCTAGTTTAACTCTTCTAAGCCTCCTCCGACTCCTTGCGGGGTTCGAATTCAAACCGCCCCCACTGAGCCGCCGCCCGTTGGCTGCCGCGCATCTCGCGCTCAGCCAATTGGCTGGTCGCTTCCTTACGGCCCCGTCCTCTTCGAGATCCAACCAATCCGCTGTTTTCACCTTCTCGATTGGCCGGCTCCTCCCGAGCCCCGACCAATCGGCGGCCTCCTCTTACCAACAGCCCACACGTGACCCAGTGGAGCTGCCGCTGTGGCCGCGCGCTGCAAGGACGGAGGCTAGTAGAAGGCACACGCCAACCGGCCAACGGCAGTCTGGGGGCGGGGCTAGGGGAGGGGCAGGAGTAGAGTTTAGGGCCTTGGGCTGAGGGGAGAGAAGGGGAGGGGCAGGAGCCTGGGTGACAGGGGCAGTGGGGGAGGGGCAGAAGTAGGGCTGATGGGGAGAAGGGCAGGAGTCTGGGTGACAGGGGCAGTTGAGGGGAGGGGCAGGAGTCTGGGTAACAGGGGCAGTGGGGGAGGGGCAGAAGTAGGGCTGATGGGGTGAGGGAAGAGTAGGGGTGGCAGGGGAAGTGGGGGAGGGGCAGGAGTAGGGTTGATGGGGAGAAGGGCAGGAGTCTGGGTGGGAGGGGCAGGAGTCTGGGTGACAGGGGCAGTGCGGGAGGGACAGAAGTAGGGCTGATGGGGTGAGGGAAGAGTAGGGGTGGCAGGGGAAGTGGGAGGGGGCAGGAGTAGGGCTGATGGGGAGAAGGGCAGGAGTCTGGGTGACAGGCAGTTGAGGGGAGGAGCAGGAGTAAGGCTGATGGGGAAGACGGGAGGGGCAGGAGTAGGGATGGCAGGGGCAGTGGGGGAGGGGCAGGAGTTGGAGTGACAGGGTGGGTGGGAGAAGGGGAGAGGCAGGAATAGGGGTGACAGGGGTAGGGGTGATGGGCAGTGGGGGAGGGGCAGGATTAGGGCTGATGGTGGGGGCAGTGGGCGAGGGGCAGGAGAAGGGCTGACAGGGCGGAGGGAGGGGCAGGAGTAGGGGTGAAAGGGGCAATGGGAGAGGGGTAAGAGTAGTGATGACAGGGTGGGGGGAGAAGGGGAGGGGTGAAAGAGGCAGTTGAAGGGAGGGGAGGGGCATTGGGGGGGACAGGAGTAAGGCTGACAGGGTGGGGGGAGAGGCAGGAGCAAGGGGCATTGGAGAGTAATGTGGAGGGGGCAGAAGGGGAGAAGTAGAGGGTGGGGCAGGGGCAGGGGCTGGGGGCAGGAATGACAGAGGAGAGGGTGGATCCAGGAGGGAAGGGGCCTGGAGAAGGGAAAGAGGCAGCTGGAGGGCAGTTAACAGCAGGGCAGGGCAGAGGGTTGCTGAAGGGGATGACAGGGCAGGGAAGAGGATGCACAAAGTTACGGAGGGGGGCAGAATGGGATCATTGGAGGGGGCAGTGGGGAGGGAAGGAGACAGGAGTGACCCCAGGGCTGGTTGCAGAAGGAGACATGGGGCCTTTCCCCTCTATGGGGTGTCATTTCCACTCTGGCCCAGGGTGGGGACTGGCTGGCTCAGGGCGCTGGGAAAGGAGTCCAGGGCCTGGCTCCTCTAGGTGGAGCTGGACGTGATCCCACCCTGGCTGGCGCAGGGAATTGGGATCGTAAGAGGTGGAAGATCCCCCGCCCCCCCTAGCTGTCTAGTGCTGTGCTCCACTGTCAGTGCAGATCCGGGGGAGGGGGGGGTCCTGAGGGGGGTGCCGAGGGCCCTCTCTGCAGGCAGCGCCAGGAGGGGGGCGTTAGGGGGGTCCCCTCCCCCAGCGTCTCTCCGCATCCCCCCTCGTTCCTCCCTGCTCTGGCGGCTGCTGCTGCTGCGTCACTGGGCTCAGCTCTAGGATGGAGCCGCAGAGGGGCCTGCTCTTTAGCCCCTGAGGGCCGGGGCAGCCTCCTCAGCCCTGAGAAGCCCCCCCTCCCCAGACTGGGGAGGGGAGAGAGCCGGCCCCCACCCTCACAGGAGACTCGGAGACCTGGTAAGGGCAGGAGAGGCTGAGGGAGGGAGCACCCCCTCCCCCACGCAGGGAAGAGAGATGGGCTGCCCAGCTACAGAGAGCCCCTCCATCCTCCCAAAAGGAGACACCCCCAAATCAGACTTCCTTCTTGCCACATCTGAGAGCTCCCACAACTGAGATGCCCTCAGTCTGAGCGAAACCATATCCCAGACCCACCCCAGAGGGCCCTCCTGAATTTGAGGCACCTCCAGATCCCAGACTCACCTCAGAGAAAGCCCCCTAATCTGAGACACTCCAGAGAGGGGCCCCGAATCCAGGACACCCTCAGATCCCAGGGGCCCCTGAATCAGAGACTGCCCCAGAACCATCCCTGAGAGGGCCCCCAGATCCCCCCCAAATCTAAGCCCCCCACTGAGACCCCCCAAATCCAAGATTTTTTTACCTCCCAGAGAGGGTCTCCTGAATCCAAGACACCCCCAAGGTCACAGAATCCCCCCAGAGAGCCCCCCCAAATCTGGAACACCCCAAATTTCAGATCCTCCTGAGAGACCCCTCCCAAATCCAAGACTCCCAAGACAGTGCCCCCTGAACCTGGGACACCCCCAGACTCCCCAAAGATGCCCCCCAAATTGAAGATACCCCCAGATCCCAGACATCCCCAGAGAGGCCCTCCTGAATCTGGGACACTCCCAGATTCTAGATCCCCCAGAGAGGGTACCCCACCTCCAAGACATTCCTGGATCCCAGACACTTCGGTGTGGACCCCCTGAATTTCAGACCCTCAAGACTGGGCTCCTCAGATCTGAGAAACTGTCAGATCCCAGAGCAGGTCCCCTGAATCTGACACATCCCCAGATCCCAGACCCTCCCAGAGAGGACAACCCAGGATCCCAGACACCATAGTGTTCGGTCCACCAGATCTGAGATACCACAGAGAGGGCCCCCTGAATTTGGGACACCCCAGATCAGGCCCCTTAGGTCTGAGACACCCCTAGAGAATCCCTCCGTAGTTCTGATCTCCCTCCAAGAAATGACCCCTGGTTCTGAGACATTCCTCACTCTGGAAGACCCCCTAATAAATGGTACCCCAAATCCAAGGCTAGCTCCCCAGATCTATGACCCTCCTCTCACACAGAATATGCCCCCTTGCTATGTAAAGGAACCCCACAGGAGTGGATGCAATTGCTGGGAATGAAGAATCCTGGGTTCTGTCCTGAGCTCTGACAGGTGACTGACCCTCTCCCCTCACATGGCAGATTGGTCACAATGTGATGGCGAGCGAGCTACCTACTCAGACTTCCCGGGTGACACGCACGACCTCCCGCCTGACCTCCGGCCCCTGGAAACGCCCGGCTGCCCCGGTCCCTTCTGCGGCTCCCAGCCGGCCCCGCTTCTGGGAGGGGCAGGATGTGCTGGCCCGCTGGACCGATGGCCTGCTCTATCTGGGTACCATCAAGAAGGTGAGTGAAGCCCACACACACACACTAGGGCCCCCTCCTCTGACTGTCCCTGCACTCACTCACCCCTCTCTCCTCTGGCAGGTGGATGCTTCACGGCAGGTTTGCCTGGTGCAGTTTGAGGACAATTCCCAGTTCCTGGTGCTCTGGAAGGACATTAACCCTGGTGAGCACTGGAGTCCTGATGTAGTCTCACTCTCAGCCCACAGCCCCAGCTCTGCCGCCATGCCCCTCACTCCAAGCCCACAGTCCCATGGCTCCCACCCCCCGCAGCTCTGCCAGTGCCCCATAGTCTTGACCCACAGCCCTCTCAGGTCTGCTGATGCCTCTTATTCCCAACCCACTGCTCCTCCCCTTACTACCGCAGCCCTGGGCTCCCTCCACACACAGCTCTACCGGTACTCCGCAATCCTGATTCACAGCCTCCTTCTGTCCTAGGCCTGGGCTTCCCACCCACAGCTTTGCCAGTGCCCCTCACTCAGACCTATGCTTTCTCCATATGCACAGCTCTGCTGGTGCCCCTCAGTCCTGACCTGCAGCCCCCTGCTATCCCAACCTTGGGCTGCCCCCAGCAAGGCATTAATTGGGCAGGTTCCTTTCTCTCCCACAGCCGCCGTGCCCGGTGAGGAGCAGATCTGCTGCGTATGTTACTCGGAGTCCGTGAGCCCAGAGAACCAGTTGGTGCGGTGTGAGAAATGTGGGCACAGTAAGTGGTGCTCCCCTCCTCTGCCATCCTCTGGCCATCTTGGGACCCCCTTTCTCCTCTCTCACCAGCTCTCTCCCCTTGCAGCCTACCACCAGGAGTGCCACCTGCCCAGAGTGCTGGATGCGAGCAGCGATGGGGCTGGGGTGCTTGGTGCATGGATGTGCCGGCAGTGTGTCTTCGCTGTGGCCACCAAGGTGAGCACGGGGCTGGCAGCTGTGGGAGGCCAGACATCATCCCCTTGTGTCCCCAGTGATGCCTTTGATAAAAAGGGGGTGGGGTGTCCTGATTCCTATTGTCCCCCACACAGCAAGTGTCCCCCCCAGCTCCTGCTCCCCTCCAGCAGGTTAGCCTCTCTCATTCCCATCCCCTCATGAGTCCCCTTCCCCCCAGCAGCTGCATCCCTCTGATTCAAGGCCCCCCACCCTCCCAATTCCTGTCCTTCTGTGGATGGATCTGTTTGATTTGTGTCCAGCCTGTCTCACACGCCCTCTCTCTGTTCTCTCATTTGCAGAGGGGTGGTGCGCTCAAGAAAGGCCCCTATGCCAAGGCCATGTTGAGCATGAAGCTGGTGCTGCCCTATCAGTTCAAGGCTCTGGAGTGGGATCCTGCACACCTGACCAATCGGCAGCAGTGTTACTGCTACTGTGGAGGCCCTGGAGAGTAAGTTTCCCTTCTGGTCTTGCAGATTCCTGAGGTCAGCACTTGCCCTTGCATCTGCTTCTTTGTGACGAAGAGCAGGAATCAGGAATGTTCCTGTTCCTGCCAAAGTGGGCGTTTTGAGCAGCAGGATTTCAGATCTAGATTGCAACTAGGCCCCTCAATTTGGATCCTGATAGAGCAGGTAACACCTACCCACTGCTTCTGCCCCAAAGGGATTTCCAACTTCAGAGATAAATTAGCAGGAGTTCTATCTAGCTCCAGCAAGACCATTTGGATTTGGATTTCTAGAGCTAGCTTTGGACTGGGAGGAGGTTCTGGAGTTGGAAGAGGTTTCTAGGAGCAGGCTTCACACAGGGAGGTCAATTTCGAGAGCAGGTGTTGGAGCCAGAGATTTCTAGAGCAAGCTCAGAACAGGGAGCATGGTTTCTAGAAGTGGTCTTGTGGTTGAATGAGGTCTCCACAGCAAAGTCCATGGTGGGGAGGGGGGGTTTCTATAATTAAATATGTGAGGAACTTTTTTCTATGACCAGTTCTGGTTTGGGAGGATGGTACTGAAGTGAGCTCTGAACTAGTGGGTTTCTAGATTGGGTTTTGAAGTTAGATACAGTTTCTAGAAAAGAGTCTGGAGTGCTTTCTGGAATTGGATTTTTTTGGCATGGGAGTAGCACAGTGTTTATAAAGTCAGGTCAGGTTTTCACAGGTCCCTGAAGCAGCTTGTGTTGGGGTAGGCTCTTTTCTCCAGCCAGGCTGGATGGTCCTTGTAAAACAAATTCCCCAAACAGCTTCCAGCATGAGATTTTTCCAGTACAAGTTCCAGATTGAGTGGCTGTAGACTGGGATGAAGTCTCTGCCGTGAGTTGTGTGGTGGAGGGGGCAGGTTTCTACAGCAGCTTGCACCAAGGGAGAGAGATTTTTCTAGGCTGGATGAGATGGGGTTTCTGGACTAGAAGGTAGGTTTCTGGCAGGGTTTTGGAGCTGTGCTCCGGCTCCACTCCAGCTCCAGGCAAAAACCTGCAGCTCCGCTGCTTCGGAGCTGCTCCGCGCTCCAGCTCTGGGCTCTGCTCCAAAGCCCTGGTTTCTGGAGCTGCTCATGGGGTGGAGAGGAGTGCATTTCTAGAGCTGGGTGGTGCCTGGAGTGGGTCAGCAAATGCCCCAGGTGAACTCCTTTCTCTCTCCAGTTGGGAGGGTGCTGGGCCCCTGGCAGGCTGCCCCTCAGTCATGTGCTCACTCAGCCTCCCTCTCTCCCCCAGGTGGAACCTGAAGATGTTGCAGTGCTGCAGCTGTGCCCAGTGGTTCCATGAGGCATGTACCCAGTGTCTGAGCAAGCCACTGCTTTATGGAGACAGGTGAGGGGGCATGGAGGGACTCAAGGTGGAGGGCTGAAATCCACCCTGCCCCTTGTGGAAACAGGTGAGGGGACATGCAGGGACTGGGGAGGGAAGTGAGATCCACCCCACTACCCTGTGGATATAGGTGAGGGGACAAGAGGGAGATTCAGGGGTGGGGAGGCGAGATCCTCTCACTCCCCTACACAGACAGGTGCGGGCACATGTGGGGAGAGGTCCCTGAGATCCAGGATTAATTCTCCCCTCACACACCTCGGGTCTCTTCCAGATTTTATGTCTTCGAGTGCTGTGTCTGCACTGGGGGCCCTGAGAGCGTACGGAGACTTCCCCTGAGATGGTGAGTCTGGTTCCCCCCCTCCACATTTCCAGTACATGTCCCCACCATGCCAGCACTGACCCTTCCCCCTCTCCCCACAGGGTGGACGTGGCCCATCTCATTCTCTATCACCTTAGCATCTGCTGCAAAAAGAAATACTTTGACTTTGAGCGGGAGATTCTGCCGTTTGCCAGCGAGAACTGGGACAACCTGCTGCTGGGAGAGGTGGGCTGGGTGTGGGAAGGGGGCTGCAGGGAGAGTGGACTATGACGGGTGGGGGGAGAGGAAACAGGGCTAGAAGGAGCAGGGGGAAGTGGTGGGGAATGGGGCTGCAGGAATGGGGAGCAGGGGGAAGGGGACGGGGACAGGGCTGGGGGAGAGAAATGAGCAAGGAGTGGGAGAGAAGGGAGAGAGAGGAAAGTTGGGGACCTGGGTGAGAGGTACCCAGGGAGAGGGTGGAATGGAGTGGGAGGGACTCCAAGGGTTGGCTGGGAGCTGGCTGGGTGGATATGCTGTGGAAGCAGGTGGAGAAGTCAGGAGGCAATGGAGGGTCTCTGGACCATGGCCCTCACTGATCCCTCATCCATTCTCATTTGGTCCTTGCAGCTCTCGGATACACCCAAGAGGGATCGGTACAGCCAATTGCTGAGTGCCCTGAGCAGCCACAAAGACAGGTGGGAGGAGCTTTTGTAACACTCTGCTCTGCCTGTGTGGCCCCTGCTTCCACACACCTGCCATGCTCCGCCACTGCCTCTCGCTCACCTGGAACTACATTGGCCCTCACACGTGCTGCCACGTCCTCGCACCCACGCTGAATCACACTGCCCCTGGCACACTCTGCCATGCCCTGGCATCCACCTGGACCCACGGCAGCCCTTGCATGTGCTGCCACTCCCTTGCACCATCACTGAATTGCGCACCTCCTCACATGCTCCACTATGCTGGCCATCAGATGCTCTGCTATGCCCCTGCACCCACACGGCATCACATTACCCCATTGCACGCTGCACCATGTTGGCCCATGCAGGTTCCGCCACTACCTCCCACTCACCTGGAACCATGCCAGCTCTCGCATGTGCTGCTACTCCCTTGCACCCTCACTGAATTGCACTGCCCCCTCGCACACACAATGGCCCTCACATGCTCCACCATGTCCTCGCACCCACTCCCAGTTGCACCAGCCCTTGCATGCCCCTCCGCACACTTCCACCCACCTGGAACCACGCTAGCTGATGCACACTCTGCCACGCCCTCGCACCCACCTGAAACTGCACCTGTCTTCACGGGCTCTCACACCCGCTCAGTCATGCAGGCTCTTGGACACCCCTGCATTGTCGCTACTGATGCTTTTGCCTGGGAGCTGTTTGCCCTGCAGATCTGAGTCTGGTCTCTCTTCTTCTCCAGGTTTATTTCAGGGAAGGAGATCAAGAAGCGGAAGGGTCTCTTTGGGCTCCACATACGAGTGCCACCTCCTGCACCTCAGTGCCCTGGGGGCCATGGTGGCTCCACGGCTCAGCAGCCCCAGGGGCAGCCCCCACTTACTGACAGCAGGTGAGCAGCCTCAGCTGTCCCAACTCCTCCTGCCCCACACATTCAGCCACCATCCCAGGGCTCCAGCAAGGGGTTAGGGTGAGAAGGGCAGCATAGGGGTGAAGATACAGGGGAGAGGGCATGGTGGGTGGGAGTGCAGGGACACCACTGAGGTGATGTGATGGGGGACTGAGGGAGAGGACATTGGGAGCTCCCTCCCCGCATTCCCCCTGGGGAAGTTCTGTGGGGACCAGGTTAGGTCCGCAGCAGCAGATACAGTATTGTCAGGAGGGGGCACAGGGCCTGGGCAGGTCTTTCTACCTTGCCTCCCCGTTCCTATCAGGGGTCACTGACCCAGCCCCCTTGGGCTCCCAGTGGAGCAGGCGCGGCCCCCTGCGTGCTGTGCAGATAAGGAGGGTCTCTTACAGCTTCCTTTCAGGGCAGGGCAGCAGTGGGGCAGGGCGCCGGAGGCCACGGAGGCGCAAGGTCCCCCCGGAACCCACAGACACCATGGAGCTGAGGAGCAGCAGGGAGAAGTGGCAGCTGGACAGAGCCCTCACCCAGGTATGCCACAGCCTCCCGCATTGCCCCAGGAGCCCCCCCCCCCCCCGCCCTGGGCTTTGGGGACCCTCCCTGGGCACCCCACTGATTGTCCGTCCTTGCAGGAGGTGGTGGAGACCCCAGTCAGTGCTAGCCAGACATACTGTGGCTACAGCGGCACCTCCAGCACCTACAACTTCCGCCGCACTGACGCCCGCTGCCTGGAGAGGTGAGGAGGGACCGGCAGGGTGGGGGTGCCGCCTTGCCCAGCCCTCCATTCACCCCATTTCTCACTCTTTCTTGCCCACAGTGCTCCCATCAGGATGTTTGCCTCCTTCCACCCATCCGCCAACACTGCCCGGACCCTGAGGTGAGGGGAGGCAGGGACAGGGTTTCGGGAGAGCAGCCCCTCTCTCCTAGAGGCAGCTCAGAGGCCAGTTTCTAGGGCAGGCCCCCAAGGGATGGTATCTACTCTAGAGCAAGGAATGGGACATTCTAGAACGAGGGCTGAGTTCTCTACGGCAGACTGGGTTGTTAAGTGGTTCTAGAGCAGGCTGAGGGCAGAGAGGGACCATTCTAGAATTGATTCTGGCTGGGAGGGAAAGGCGTTCTAAAACTGGTTCGGGTCAGGATGGGGGAAGCTCCACCCATGTTAGGGCTTTGCAGGTACTTTCTGGAGCAGGCTCTGGGCTGGGACTGGGGGGGAGAAGCATTTCATGGTGCAGGCTCCCCTGATCCACCTTGTTTTATAACAGGAGCACCACTGCCAGCCCGGACCCCCGCGAAGCACCTGCGACAGAGAGCGAGAGCCCTGAGCATCCCCCTACCCACACTCCACTGCCCCACGCAAACTACCCAGCCCCCAGCACCAAGCACCAGCCTGAGACCCTGGCCTCCCCTTCCTCCTCCAGCGCTCTGTGCCCGGGCCCTGCCCCCACCAGCAGCAGCTACTTTGGAGCCATGGGGCGCCTGGCTCGTGGGGAGGCTGTCCGCATCCTGGCCCGCAGGGTCACCCTCGATGGCACTGTCCAATACCTGGTGGAATGGGGTGGAGGGGGCATGTTCTGAGGGGGAGGGGAAGTGCCAGAGAGACACCCCCTCTTGGGGCTGCAGAGAGTTGTCAGCCTTCCCCCCCCCCACACACACACACACACACTGAGCAAGTGCAACTCCTAGGACAGAGTGCAGTGTCAGGGATTTGTCCCTCTCTGACAGCGGTGGGGATTGCACTGGGGGGGCTCTCACCCTCAGCTTGGATATAAGGCAGGAATTGCCTAGTCCTGCTCAAAGAAGGGCCCTAGGGTGGATGGTGGGGGGCATTCCCCACTCCCACCGGGCAAATGCTTCATTGTATTCAAAGGGTTTATTTTCTTGTTGCATTTTTATTATTCTGTAAAAATTCTATTTAATGAAGTGCAATGGGGGGAGGACAGAGCTTGGGGCACCCTGCCACAATGGGGCTGTCCAAGGCAGAATGGGGGCACAGGAATGGGAGGTGGCAGCTCCCCAAGGCCTGGGAGGAGAGGGGTGCCCCCCAGCACAGTCATCCATCCTGCTTGTAACCTGCTGTACAGACGGCATATGTTCCCCTCCCCACAGGCCAGCTGTGCCCACTCCCCCATCCCTGTGTGCTGATGCTGTGGTCACCATCGCCATTCTGACTGTACAAACTGACACCTGCAATAAAGAGCTTGCTGCAGACTCAGCCTGGTCATTAGAGGGAGGGCACCACAGGCTGCTGTGTCGCAGGAAGGGCTAAAACCCGGGAGGCCAGCCTCCACCCCCACAACTCCATGCTTCCCCACCCCCCGAGCCAGAAAGGGAACCCAGGAGTCCTGGCTTGCAGGCGCCATCTCGCTCCCCCAGTACACCAGGGCTGTGTGTGCTGTGAATGAGGAGCCAACCTTGGTGTGTTGGGGGCAGTTTATTGGCTGCAGGTTCCCCCCCGCAAAAAAAAATTCCATGGGGTGAGTCCTGTTCCTGTGGTGTCTCCATACAGGGGGATTGAGGCAGGGTAGGGGCAGACGGTCCCCTGCTGTGGGGTACGGGGTCTCACTCTGGCACAGTCTCCCCAACCCACTGCAGATATGGTGCGTTTCCCTGCTGGATGGGCAGCGCAATCACCTCTGCTACTTCGTATGGGTGCACCGACCTGTAGGGAGATGGGGGAAGTCAGAGGGGGTGGAGCAGGCAAGGATTCCCCAGTAACTCCCCCCAGGGACTCACCACTCTGCCCCTGCCACCTCCACCCCCCCAGAGACTCATGTCCTCTCCCTCCCCCCAGCAACCCTCCTGCCACACACGCTCAGCCTTCTCTCGAGACTCCACCCCCCCACCCCAGAAATTCCCTAGGCCCATCCCCACCAGCAGGCTCCCACAGGGTGGAGAAGGAGACAGAAGGACAATGGACTGACCGGACAAATTCGGTCAGCGCTGGGATCCGGGAACTCCGGGTTTTGATCATCTGGGGAGAGACAGATGGTGAAAGGTGCGGGGGTTTCCATTAGCTGCTTCCCCCCCCCACCCAAACATGCAGGGCAGAGCCCAGGGTTCTAGAGCCTCCCCATTGCCTACACAGGCAGGGGATTTATGCCCCACCCCACAGAGACTCTCCCCACATGGTCCCTCACCAACAGCACCTCCCTGTCCTCTTCGATCTTCCCCTTCCACTCGTATCTGAAAGAAACCAGCAGGGGGAGCTGGTGAGAGGGATACACAGAGAAAGCCTGCCCCAGTCAGGGAGGCCAGGCCACTCCCCCATCCCAATTCCAGGCCCAATGCAGTGACCATAGAGCCCGGGGACTTGGCTCCTGCACTCACATGGATGTGATCTGAGGCACGATGTTGACACAGGCAGCCAGGTGCTTCTCTACCATCGCCCTGCTCAGGACAAAAATACATATCAGTGTCCTCCATGCTCAAAAGTCCCCCACTCCCCTCCCAGAG